GCCCTGTGTCCCATTCCCTGCCCCCCAGCCAGTCCCCACCCTGGGGTTGGATTGGGGTCAGCCCCGCTAGAGGGGAAAGGCCCCGGGTCCCACGTGCCACGGGTTGGCTGGGCCCAGCTCTGAGGTGCCCCCGAGTCCACCCGCCCCTCTTGGTGCAGCTCAGGTTACGGGTGCAAGTCTCCAGCTTCGTCCTCCCTGTGGCCCTGTGTCCCATTCCCTGCCCCCCAGCCAGTCCCCACCCTGGGGTTGGATTGGGGTCAGCCCCGCTAGAGGGGAAAGGCCCCGGGTCCCACGTGCCACGGGTTGGCTGGGCCCAGCTCTGAGGTGCCCCCGAGTCCACCCGCCCCTCTTGGTGCAGCTCAGGTTACGGGTGCAAGTCTCCAGCTTCGTCCTCCCTGTGGGAAGCCCCCCTGGGCGTCCCGGCCGGGCTGAGCAGAGCGCTCACCTGGTGGTAGGACACGCAGTCCTGGCTGCAGTTGTTCCCCTGGGGACCCCGCTGCCAGTCGCTCACCCAGTTGTGGGCACAAGTCAGATCATCCTGGCAGGCTGTGTACCTGGGGCGAGAGAGAGGGGACAGGCTGGGATTGAGACAAACTGGGGTGGGGGATGCCCAACTGGGATCTATTCCATAGAGCCCCACGTGAGACCCCAGCCCACCCAGCCTAGTTTCCTGTTGCTCTCTAGTTCCCTGCAGCAGGGAGTTCCACTAGTCAGCACACGGCCTTAAAGGGGCACTTCCCACATGGGAGACCTTCAGCCCAGCCCTTCCTGGAGCCTGTCACAGGCAAGAGATTCTTGCCCCCTTGGCCTCTGCTGCCTGGGGTCACATGGGCACTTGCACCCTTGCTGGGACTAGCCTGGCTCCCCTCCCCACAACCACTAGCCCCTGCTCCCCCCCAAAGCCAGGGAGAGAACCAGGAGTCCTGGCTCCCAGCCCCTCCTCCCTCCACTCTAACCACTAGTCCCTGCTGCCCCCCAAAACCAAAGAGAGGACCAGGAGTCCTAGCCCCCTGTTCCTCCCCATTCAGGAAGGCGGGGGAAGGAGCACTGACTTACCACTTCTCACAGAAGCTCAGGCAGAGGGGCACCTCCAGCACGGCTGTGGGGCGCTGGGGGTGGGGCCAGCGGGCGGCGCTGGGGGAGCAGCAGTAGAAGCATTCAACTCGTTGCAGGTATTGCTCACACCTGGGGATGGGGAGCAGGGAGGCGGCATTAGAGTGGGGAGCCCCACAGGGCACCTCTGGGGGACAGTGGCTGGGCCGGGACCGTAGTGGGCACTCTCCTCTGGCATTAGATGTCACAGGGAGGCAGTGGGGGTGCTGTGCTGCTGGGGGTCCCATCCACTTGGGCTGGGATATAACTTGGGTCTTTGTGAAAATCTGGACTACTGGGCTAGATTCCTATTGTGCACCATCCATGAGCAGGGCACTGCTGCGGGGAAGCTCACAACCGAGGTGAGATAAGGCCGGGCAGGGCACTGCTGCGGGGAAGCTCACAACCGAGCCAGGCTAAGATAAGGCCGGGCAGGGCACTGCTGCAGGGAAGCTCACAGCAGAGCCAGGCTATGATAAGGTCAGGCAGGGCACTGCTGCAGGGAAGCTCACAGCAGAGCCAGGCTATGATAAGGCCAGGCAGGGCACTGCTGCAGGGAAGCTCACAGCAGAGCCAGGCTATGATAAGGCCAGGCAGGGCACTGCTGCAGGGAAGCTCACAGCAGAGCCAGGCTATGATAAGGCCAGGCAGGGCACTGCTGCAGGGAAGCTCACAGCAGAGCCAGGCTATGATAAGGCCTGGCAGGGCACTGCTGCGGGGAAGCTCACAGCCGAGCCAGGATATGATAAGGTCAGGCAAGGCACTGCTGCAGGGAAGCTCACAGCCAAGCCAGGCTGAGATAAGGCCGGGCAGGACCATCCTACCTGGGGCTGAGGTTCCCACAGCGATTCCAGTAGATGTTGAGCGGGGTGCTGGAGATCTCCTGGGCCACCTTGGAGGAGCAGCAGGCATCTGGGAGGGGAACCAGCCCGTCCATCAGCACCACCCAGGACCCCTCCCCCGGGGCCATGGGGCTCTCCAGGGCAGGGCTTGTCACATATGGGGTGATGGGCCCTTGGCTTTCTCCAGAGTGCAGGGACCCCGCACGACATGGGGGCAAAGCCTCTGCTCACAGGGGATAGAGCAAAGGGGCTGGGAGCCAGGACTCTCTCCCAAGCTCTGGGAGGGGAGTGGGGTCTAGTGGTTAGAGCAGATGGCTGGGGCTGGAGAAACTCCTTGAACCCCCTACTCTGACTCAGGTTTGCCCTCCCCACGCCTCGGATTTTGTGACCCCCTCCGCTGCCCGCCCCACCTCGCCCCGGGCTGCCCACGCCCATCACTCACTGGCGGCGTAGAGCTGGCAGATCCCCAAATGCCCCTCGGGGCCAGGAGCTGCCTTGTGCTTCCCGCCTGCCAGGCAGTGGCCGCTCAGGTCCCAGCAGGTGCCCAGTGCCCAGGCACTGCCCCTGCCACTCATGGTGCCTGGGAACAGATCAAAGACGGACTTGGTCAGAAGGGAAAATTGGGGGCTCTCCCTATAGCGGCCTCTGATTGGACAGACTGGCAATAAGACTGGCTTTGGGGGTTGGCCCCCCAGCCCTGGACCAGCTTGGCCTGGGGATGGGTGGGGTGATGCTGAGTCCAACCAGGAGAAGTCTCTATCTCCCTCGCCCATCTGTCCCTCTCTCTGACTCGCCAGCTCTCCCCTCCCTTTGGGCGTTGCGCAGATCCGGCAGGCCTGGAGATGGGGGGCTGCAGACTGGATCCGGCAGGCCTGGAGATGGGGGGCTGCAGACTCAGTGTGGCCTGGAGTGATCGGCCCTTTGGCCCTTGCCTTCCAGCCGCTCTGCTCTGGCCCCGGGCTGGCTAGGAAGCTGCAGGGTCCTTCCTGACCCCTGCAGTGACTGGTGCCCTGAAGCATCACAGTGACAGACCCAGAATTTCCCCAGGAACCACTGAACTTCCCCATGGCCAGGAAAGGCTCCAACCAGCCTCAGTCCATCAAAGCGCTCCCTAGGGACCGGCTGCCCGCACTCTCTCAGCTACTGTTCCCCCCACGCCGGGTGGCCTGTGTCTTTCCAGGAGCGACTTGACTTCCAGCAGAGACTGTCTCAGGGTTGGAGCGGGGGGAAAGGGCTGGGAACTAGGACTCCTGGGATCTAGCCTCAGACCCTTCCTTGGCAGAGGGGGCTTGTTCCTGTGGGTGATGCTAGACACCATTCCCCCCACCCCGTGGGGAGCCAGGCAGCTCACGTGCTGGAGAAGGTGCCTTGGGGAGGCCTCAGGCCATCTTATCCCTTCCCCCTAATTGGATCTGAACTAAAGAACTGGCTGTACCTTGGACTTGACAGCTTCCGCCCCCAGGGCCCAAGGTGACTCCTGCTTACAGAGCCGGATCCTGCCTTCCCCAGTGAATTAGGCCGACGCGCTGAAATTAGACACGGCTGGTGGGGGCACCTGGCTCTGATAGCAGCCTCCCTGCTGGAAGATCAGATTCCCCCCAAGGCTGCTTGCCTGGGAGAAACCCAACCCTCTGCTGCCCTCAAGGGCAGCTGGGACAGAACCCAGGAGTCCTGGCTCCCAGCCTCCGTGCTCTAACCACTAGACCCCACTCCCCTCCTAAAGCAAGGATAGAACCGAGGTGTCTTGGCTCCTAGCCCCCTCTTTTAACCCCCTCCCACTCACAATCCCACATCCCTTCCAGAGCTGGAGACCAAACCTAGGAGTCCTGACTCCCAGCCCCTGCTCTAACCATTAGACCCCACTCCCTTCCTCCTAGAGCTGGGGAAAAAAGAATCCAGGAATCCTGGCGGAGTCCCAGTGGTTTCGGCATCAGATGAGTCCAGCTTTCCTTCCCAGAAGGACAAATAATTGCATGCGTGGGGAAGGGGTGCTATGCTACCAGCCCTAGCAATGAACCCCCCCCCAAAAAGCATGAACTTAATAACCACGAGGAATGTAGATAAACCTGGGAGTCGTTGCATTGACTTTGGGGAGGTTGAGTCTTTAGGGAGTCGCATTTGCTAGTTTTGCTTTGGCAGCATGAGGGCTAGATCCTGGCTTCTGAAAACAAACCCATCAGAGCAGAGCCCCCCCTCATCCCAGGGCTCCGGGAGCTGGGACTTTAAGGAAGAGAGCGACAGTCCAAACCACGTGGCACATGGTGCTGCAGTCAGCGTCCCCGGAACTGCCAGCTAATGGGAATTTCTGAGACATAGGCTGGGTGTGACAGAGATCAAGGGCAGGGTCCCCCAACCTTGACAAGGGCCCCGTGATGGTAGGTGGGTAGTTAGCAGAATTACGGTAGCACCTGGAAACTGCACCCTCCTTTCAAGATCAGGGCCCCTTTGTGCTGGGCACAGCCACCTCTGAGGCAGTCCCTGCCCCAAGCCGATCTCAAGGCAAAGGGGGGATCATTCTCTCCATTGGCAAAGGGGGAAACTGAGGCATGTGACAATTAAATGAATTACCGAAAGACTCCTGACTGCTTTTCCCAGTTCTCGTGGGGAATCTCGTGGTTAGAGAGGCTGGGCTGGGAGTCAGGACTCCTGGGTTCTTTCCCCAGCTTGGGGACAGGGGGATGGTGTCTAGTGGTTAGAGCCGGGGAGGGAGGGGGGGCTGAGAGTCAGGAATGCTGGGAAGGACTGTGAGAACCAGCAGGGGCTCTTGGAGAACTAACAGCCTCCCCCCTCCCCAATTCCTGGTGTGACCTGCATGGGACTGTGCACACGATTTCTCCACCCAGCAGGGGCCAGAGACCAGCCCACGGGGCAGGCTACAGCCGGACTGTCTCCTAGGGTGTTTCTTGCACCTTCCTACGAAGCAGCCGGACATGGGCCTGCAGGAGAGGGAGTAGGAGGCAGGCTGGGCCCATGGGTCTGATCCTGCTGTCAGAGCCAGGCAAGGTGCCAGCCAGTGTGTTAGAGACTCTGCTGCCAGTAACCCTACCTCGCCCCATGCTACTAGTACCTGGGCGCCACCCGTGGGTGTGTCTCTCAGGCCCACGGACCAAACCACGGGACCTAGAGCAGCCTTTGGCCCTTGCTTGGACCCCACCTGGGGCGGGGTGCACAGAGTGCAATCGGGACACCTGGGTTCTGTCCCCGGCTCGGCGAGGGGTGGGAGGCCTAGTGGTTAGAGCAGAGGCCCAACTATCAGGAAAGCTGGATTCTGTGGGGCTGGCAGGGGCCTTGCAAAGACAAGTCCAGCCCCCTGAGCTGAGGCAGGACCAAGGAAACCTGGCCCGGCCCTGGCACCAGGTGTGCACCCAGCCTGCTCTCAAAACCCTGCCATGACCGGATCCCGCAGCCTCCAGCCCTGCCCTGCCCCTGGAATTAGGAGGTTTCTTCTAATGCCCGACCTAAATCTCCCCTGCCACGGATTAAGTCCATGGCTTCTGGTCTGACCTTCAGTGACCCCAGAGAACAACCGCTCCCTCCGTAATGGCCTTGAACCTACCTGCAGGCTGCCCCAGCCTGCGCGCGAGGCTAAACCAGCCCCGTTTTTTCACCCTTTCCTCCCAGGTGAGGTTTGGCCGAACCTCCTCTCCCATCCCTCGCTCTCCTTTGGACTCGCTCCACCCTGCCTGCTTCCTTCCCAAAATGTGGTGCCCAGGAGCCGGCCCGGCCCGCACAGGTCACTTTCCAGCACCGGCGTCTCGCTAACAGACCCCGGATCAGATTTGCTGCTTTGCAACAGCATGGGGCTGTAGACCCATATGCAGCCTGCGACCTGCCCCTGGCCAGGTCTGCTGCCCCCCAGCCGGTGCCCCCTGTGCAACCAGGCGGCTCATTTTTCCTTCCTTTGTATGGATTTTGATGTAATTTCCAGGGCTGGGAGCCAGGATACTCAGGCTCTATTTCAGCTCCAGGAGGGGAGTGGGATCTGCTAGCTTGAAGCAGGGGGGTGCTGGGAGTCAGGACGCCTGGGTTCTATTCCCAGCGGTGCTGTGTGACTTTGGGGGAGTCATTTCCCTTGTCTGTGCTGGTGTAGAATGCCCCCCCCCCACACAGCCCTTTGCATGACATACACACAGGGGAGCCGGGTGGAGGTGGGGCTTCATAGAGGAGGGAAACTGAGGCCGGGAGAAATGAAAGTGACTGAACAAGGCACCAACTTCAGGAGTCCTGAGCCTCCATCAGCCCCTCAACCCTCCCCCCAAATCCCTTCTGGTTTCCATAACCCGAAAAT